GCCGGGCGAGTTCCCGCTGTAGGCACAGGGCAGAGGTTAGCACCAGAAGGCAGTCCTGTCTCTACCCTCTCTACCCTGCCCTCTAGCCTGGTCTGTATTACCGAGGGGCAGATGATGAGTCCATAGGGCCCTTCACGCTTGGAGAAAGGTAATCTCTTTTCTTGTTCCAGGCAGAACATGATGACAGGCAATGTGAACACCAGTGTCTTGCCTGAACCCGTGAAGGCGATACCTATCATGTCACGGCCAGATAGTCTGTTGGGAGAGGAGAGACCTGAGGATCAGGTTCAGTAGAATGTAGGGAATGAGTCTCCAGATGGACACCAAGTGACTGCTCCTCCCCATCACCGCCCCTACTGGGCTCCCAGGTCCACACTCACATGGTGGGGATGCCCTGGATCTGAATGGGTGTTGGGTGGTGGATTCCCTTCTTCTTCAGGCCTCTCAGGATGGCTACGGAAAACAACCTCAGCATCATCCCTGTGTCTCACAGATACTTTATATGCCCCCAAAGCTGTAAACCCAGCACTACCCCCTTCAAGTTACAAATGAGGCCCAGAGAAAGAGAAAGAAAAAGAAAGACTTGTCCAAGACCTCCACGATAACTGGAGCAACTGAAGTTCAACCCCCAAGTCCTTCCATCTCCATTGGCTAGACCCATCTCTGCAGATGCTGAGCACAGTGGGGGCTGGGACACAACCCTACAATTGTCTGACTACCAAAGTTCCCAGGTACCTGCAGGAAATTTCATTTCCTTGAAGCTCTTGATGGGTGGTGGGATACCATCTCCTTCCACCAGGATGTGGTACTTCTTCCGAACCCGTTCATGCCGCTCTTCAGACATGCTCAGGACATAGCGAGGGGGTGTCCAACTGTGAGTGGGTGGTGGGGGTCAAGAGAGGCCCCAGGCACAGCTGGCTCTGGGGTACACCTGCCAGTCTCAGCCATATACCATTCCAAGTAAAAGTGAGTGACTGTCTTCCCCAGACTGAAAAACATACCTGGTTTTGATTGGATCGTCGTATGTGATTCCCTTGGCCATCTCCTTCACTGACATCAAGGCTGAGGAGACAGACGTGGCTCAGGGCTGGCTCTTCCTTCCCAGAGACCAGGCCCTTGAGATATAACATGTCTGGGGTTGTCAGTCCACCACCCACCCTGCCCTGACTACAGCCACACCTCGGCCCTCAGCCACACTCTCCAGGATCTTTTCCTCTTCTTTCAGCTGCTTCTCCTTGGCAGACTCCTTGCGGGCTGAGGAAAGAAGCAGATATCAGACACCAAGCACTGCACTAAGCTGAACCTCCCCGCTGCTCTACAGCCCACCTTCAGCCTTCTCTTTGAGGTGCTGGTGCTGATCCAGGAGGCTGACGTTGGACTGAGGGCCCAGCGGGATATCGTCCTCATCTCCCCGGGGCTCGCTGCCGCTGTCCTGCTGCTCCTCCTCCGCAGCTCCTTTGCGCCTTCGTTGCAGTAGCTTCTGGAGCTGAGGTTCCACCAGCGCCCCGCAAAACCAAGCCCAAAACAGAGAGGCGCATTGGGCCCAGTGGGCCTGCGTCAGGATCTTGGCTTTTGGGAGAGGAACCTGTACCCTGCGACGTGGAGCTGCGCTGCCCCTCAGATCAGGTCGCCCGCTCCTCGTTCGCCGGAGGGCCACGGTCCCGAGTACTGAACAGCTCGCTCCACGGGCGGCCACCTCCCCCCACCGCCCCTTGTCCCCGGCTCCCACGCCCTCATTCCTCTTCCGAACCCGGGCCCTCACCAGCAGTTGCCGGCGCTGTCGCAAAGGCACGTAAGGCACATAGTCTTCGTCGTCCTCATCCTCCGTCTCGGAGCGGCTTCCTGTGGCAGTCGCCTCGTCGGTGCGCGCCCGCTACAGATACACGGGAGTCAGGCTCAGTCCCCCGCTTTCACTGCCGCTCGCCACCCGCGAGGACCCCTGCCTCGCTCCTACCTTCCGCTCGGGTTCCGAGTCCTCCATCCTTTGCTGCACGCATGCGCGCCACGGTAAAACCCCGCCTCAACTTTTGAGTGAAATCCAATCAGATGTGAAGCGGAACTTGGGCGCCTAGCAACGACCTCTGAGTGCCGGGTCGCGCAGAGGGACAAACTTTCTTTGGAGAACCTGTCAGGCCGTGCTGGCGTCAAAGTCCCTTGGGCGGCTGCGCATTTGTTGCCAAGGGCCAGGGCAAAGCGTCAGACAAGGCATTATGGGACGCTGGAAGACTTGGAGCATGCGCTAAAGGCTCACAACACGAAGTCTGGCGGAAGGTCCCGAGTGGAGACGGCTGATCCCGGAGAGGCCGGCTGGCCCGCTGCGAAACCTCGCCCAGAGTCTGACGTCATCCGGCACGATCCCGGACGGAGCCAGCTGGGACCCCGCCGGGGCCTCCATCCCAGGCTCGGGGACCGGGTGTGGCTTACGGAAAAATGAATCAACTCACGCTGCAGCTCTGACTAGCGTCCTAGTCTATGTGAGACAACACGTATGTTCAGAGTGATGAAGGATAAATAAAATGCTGGTGACAAGTGTTTCGCTGAGGGTCCGTACATACCTAAGGAGCGATTTTTATAGTAAATGCTGTAATAGAGCTTGGAGTAACTCACTGCCTGCGGAACCAGAGAAGTCTTTGAAGAGACCTGCATCTGAGCTTCCAGAGGTGTGGACTCAGAACAAGGGAGTAGAGGAAAGAAGCTTTCTGATTGAGGATTCTGTAGGAGTGAAGGCTTGGCCATATGCCAGTACAGATTCCTCAAAGAACAAAGCAAGTGGCCAGCTGCTGTGGGGTGGAGTGGCCCGCGCTAAAGCTGGATAGGGAGGCTGGGTGGGCCCAGAGTATGCAGGGCCCTGACGGTCGAAGTAACTTCAACTTCAAGGGGGTACTTCATTTATATTTAAACATTTTATTTTGACAGAGAGCGTGCGGCGGTGAGGGACAGAGGGAGAGGCAGGGGAGAATCTCAAGTAAACTCCACGCTGAGCTAGAGTCTGACCTGGGGCTAGATCCCACGACGCTGAGATCAGGAACTGAGCAGAAATCAAGAGTCGGAGGGCTGAGCCACTCAGGTGCCCCTCACTAGGGACTCTTAAAGAGGAGTGATGTGTCAGTACTACTTTTTTCTTCATTCATGTATTTATTATCAGCACATACTGGGCATTGTGCACAGTGCTGAAGCAGATAAAAGATGAACAAGACACAAACCTGGCTTGTGAGTTTATGGATTAGTCGAGGAGACGAAAATAGGTCTTGAGGTAAAGGAGAAATATTCTAAGACAGATAAAGTAGTACTTTTCGAAGCACTGCAAGGCAGGGCAAGAGGATTCTCTAGTAAAAGCGGCCTTTCAGCTGGAATGTGAAGGATAAGCAGGACATGATGAAGGGAAGGTAATTTGGGAAGAAGGAAACGTGAGTAAAGTTGGGAGACCTGTGGATGCCAGGCCTGGAGGGAGACTGAAGTAATCTGGTGGGGCTGGAGTGAAGTGCAGGGAGGCAAGGACCAGGCACAGAAGGCTCTGAGCACCATCCACAGGTATTTCTCTGTACGTAAAGCTGTTCCTTGATCAGACAGGCAATTTTTGAATGATGAAGCAGAATTTTAGGTAGCTATGCCAGTTTAGCTGCAGGGCAGGAGCCCGGTGCCAGGAGTTGAAGGGAGAGAGGAACACAGATAATACGTATGCAGAGGCAGGTTTCACCAGGGCATATGCAGACTTCCCTGGAGATTAGGAAGGGCCACGGACCAGGAACTGGGAGCCTGTGGGTGATGCCTTTTAACTTCTTTAGAAGAGAAAGCTGGCACTGACTGCCCATGGTGGGGATGAACCTGGGAGGAGGGGAAGGGAGAGGGAACAGTTTCCAATCCTGCTTCCCAACTCTCTATAAAGCGCTCTTAGTGACTATGTGACCACAGCCTCCACTGCTCCCCCACACAAGCTTAAGTGTCAGCTTGACGAAATGACAATAGGGACAAGGAGTTAGAACACAGGTGTGTGTGACGCAGTTTTTTTTTTTTTTTAAGCAAACCTATTATATTAAAATCGGAATTTTCAAACCAGATCTACAGGAGGTGGAAGGTAGGAATGAGGTAGTTTGCTTTACTTTACAGAAGGGTTCATTATCCTCAACTCTCAGGTACTTAGGCTGTATGTGTCATTCCCACTGGAAAGTCCGATCCAATTTACAGAAACTCCATTTACTCCACTTCCCTTGACCATGTCAATAACCCAGGCTACAGAAAAGGCTTTGAGGCCTTTCCCAGACCACCTCTCACAGTAGCTGCCCAGACACAGCGTCTCACCCCACCGTCTCGCAGAGGGGGAAACAGGGCATGGGGAAGGGGCTGTTCCAGGTCACACACAAGGGTCCTCCCACCAGGAGAAAGTGCACAGATGCTGCTGTTAAACAGGCTTCGGCTCTAACTTCTCAGCCAGACCGAGTGCACTAAAGTCACTTTCCTGTCTTGGGTTTAATTTCCTCATCTGTAAAATGGGGTTAACAGTCCCACTTAGAACTGTTGTGAGAATTAAGTGCAAACTGTCAAACTGCTACCACATAGTACGTGCTCAGTGAGGCTAATGACCAAGGCAGACCCCATGTTTGAGTACATTCCTCACCTCACCCCTGCCCCAGACCAGCAAACCACAACACACTGACTGTGTCCAAATGTTGCTTTATCTTCCGGCAGGAAAGATCTTCACAGTATCAAAAGTAAAGAATTGAAAAACAAGAACAAAAACAAAACCAAACACAAAGAGAGCAGTGTTGGGCCAGCAGTACCATCAGCCCCCGGCCCACAGGCCAGTCCAGCCCCCAGGCTCTGAGTGAGGGGGCTGCGTAGCACCAGGAAGCGGCTCTGCGGAGGTCTTGAGGGGCCCCAGCACGGCACAGCATCCATTCAACTTTTGGTTGGTCCAGGACGGTGTGGAGCAGGGAGGGTCTTGGGCAGGTGGGTAGGGATGTGGAGGAAGAAACTGTAGACCTTCAGCTGGCAGTTGGGGGGGGGGTTCTCAGGACACCCTGAAGCAGCTCGACCTGGCAGGGGGCTGAGAAAACAGAGCATGACCATACCGTGAGTGAGCCTGTACCCTAGCCTCCCTGTGCTGGCTCTGGATTTCCATAGGTTCCCTGCGTAGGAGGAGCTGCCTGCTCTTTTTTGCTCCCTGGGCTGAAAATATTGAATAGACTTCCTTGATTACCTTCAGCAGAGGATGCAGGTTGAGACCCTGCCAGGGGACAGCTCCCCAGTAGCACGTCTATCCCATCCAGGGTGGGGTAAGAGCCCCGACTCTGGCCTTTGCTCTCCTGCTGACGGGCGGAGGAGAGGCAGCATATGCACTCTGACTCCTGCCTCACGCTCCGGGGACACAGCCCAGGTTAGGTCCCGAATCCGTGCCGGCACTGCTTTTTCACACACTCTCCGGGCTCCCGATCCCACTCTGAGGAGGGTGGAAAAGGTCAATGGAGAGCCCTTATGGTGGGGTGGGGCAGGGAGGGAACATCCCCCATCTTGGGAAAGAGATCAATCAAAGAGGGAGTCCCTGAGAGAAGATGGCTGAATGAGGTTTGTTGGCTGACAGGGGCACTGGGCTGTGGGAGGAGGAGTGCCCCTTTTTCTCTGAGAAGAGGCAACAAATGAAAGTGCCTGGGGTCCCCATAACTCCTGGATCCTGTGGAAGTGGACAAAAGGGGCAGGAGGGCGCCCTAGCAGAAGCTCCTGAGAGTGTGGACATTTCAGTTTGGCAAAAGACCAGGGAGTCCAGCCCCTTGAGAGAGAGGGGCTGAGGTGAGTCTAAAGACAGTTCTGTCTCCAGGCAGCCCGGGGTGCCATAGGGAGCCCAGCCTCAAGGGTGGGGAATCCTGACCCAGAGGAGGACAAGAGACTCGGCTGAGCGTCCAGGAAGTCTGCTGCCCTGGCACTGACAAGAGAAGGAGGACAGGTGAGGACATCCTCCTGAGGTTCCTTGAGTTCAGCTCACCTGCCCCAGTTTCCTGTGCTTTAAAGGCAGTTGTGTGACCAGGCAGAAAAGGCCTGATCCCAGGGACAGAGCACAGGGTTAAGATAGGGCACTGCACAGCCATCAGGCTGCAAACCGGGCACCAAGGCCTGTGGGCCAGTCACTCTTCTCTCCTGCACTATGGTGCTCAGTCCAGTGGCTTCTTAGTCTTCTGTTCTCAGTCCACAGCGTCATCTGATATGTCAGCATTTCACACAAAAGGACCTATGTAGGTGGTTGGGAGAGGAGCCCCGAGCCCAGCTGGGGCTAGGTCTCTTCTTCAGGAGGCAGCTTAGCTATTAATTTCTTCATTTGCCATGGTTGGGGAGAGCGCTTACCAACTCCTCCATGCCTAAATGACCTCACTGAGGCCTTGGTCGATCTCATCCACCCTCTCCCTGGTCCTCTGGGGCTAGCCCCTTCCTGCATGGCTTTAGCTGGAAAGCACCCTAAATGGCAGCCTACCAGGCTGGGCAAGTGAGATTGAACCCTGAGGCTAACAATGTCAGGAGTGGGGGCAGTCATCTGGGGTAAGGCTGCCTCGGCTCTTCAGAGGCAGATGGTGAGGGAAGTGGAGGCCTGGTAGCGATAGCCCAGGGATGGCAGTGCAGGAAGGGCCCTTCAGGAACACAGGCAGGAGGGCTCTAAGGAGGGTCTGGCCCAGGAGGAGCTATGAAAGGACAGAGGCCTAGGCGTGAGGGGCCACAGGAGAAGAGATGGTGCCTGTGTCTTCAGAGCTCATAGGCGTCACTGTGTCACTGCAGGGGCCAGGGCTGGCAAGCCACTAGCTCAACTCCGTGTGCTCCTGAGCATGAAATGGTGTGGTGGGGACACAAGGTAACAGAACTTGCAGAGAGAAGTATATGCAACACTTGGGGGTCCTCCATACCTCACTGAGCTGTGCTGGGAGTGGTTTTCTTGAGGCTGAAGTTGGTCCAGTTCACAGCAACTTTCTGACGAGTTTGCTTTGCAGAGTCCAAACAGAACCTGTTAGGTTTGATAGACACCAGGAAAGCACAATCAGAGGATCCCCCTCTCCTTGCTGGACCCCATTTCTAGTCCCTGTGTCTTGGTCACTAAAGGAACCAAGTCAACTCTGTACAACCCTTCTGGCTCCAGGGTATTGCGGCCTAGCAGGTTACGAGAGCTTTGCTGACCTGGACAGGGTGCCCACGAGCCCACGAACAGTGTATGAAGACAGTGACACTGCCTCGGGATACAGGGTAGCCCCTCACGTGGTATTTTACTCTGGCTACACTGGGCTGCCTCCTGCTCCCCTCTGTACTGGGTGTTGCTTTCAGCCTCAAACCTCTGTACCTACTAGTTCTGCTGTCACAAAGGCCCTGCTTGACCTGGCCCACTCATTCTTACTTCTCCGGTCTCAGCCTGGTTCCCATCTCTTCTGGGAGCACTGCCCACCCCTGAATCTCAGCTTGGTCTGCAACCCCACGTCCTTACTCCTCCAACAGCACTTACAGCTGGACTGTGTGTTTAGGTTCTCTCTCCATCTAGACTGCATCTGATTTGCCTCCAGCCCAGAACTCAGCCCAGGCAGAGGAAAGAAAGTACAAATGAACAAACAAAGTGAATAAAACTGGAGAAAGTCCTGGTTCTTGGGGCCTGAAGTGCCTCCTCCTCCCTGTCCCTTACACCTTCCCAGATGCCTTTTCCTGCCGTGTGGCCACCTGGGTTCCAGCAGATAGACTGGTGGAAGCGAGCCTGGCGAGGCTCTCTCTCTGAGGATGTCAGGGTGAGGGTGGGTGAGAAGGCATCCCCACACCTACCTCTTGAAGTACTCCACCTCCCGGTCAGTCTCATCCATCTCCACCCCATCCATGTCCTTGGGCAGGAACACATCGTCTAGGAAGACACAGCCAGGAGGGCTCAGTGCCCACAGCCAGGCCTCTAGGGTCATGCTCTCGGGGCAGCACTGCCCACACGCGAGGACTACCCTCCACCCTGTGGCCTGGCTGGGTGGGTGGGTGGGGTCAACCACTCAGTTCCTGGTGCACTCACCCAAGGAGGCGGCCGTCTTCTCCTGTTTGTTGCGGCTCCGGCGGCTGCGGCCCTTGCCCTGTGGCAAGCTCTGTGGCCTTGCTGGGGCTGGGGGCTGCACAGACTCCTGCTCCAGAGGCCGTGCTTTGGCCTCACCTGGCCAGTTCCGCCAGGAGCTGCCCTTCTCGTCGGCTTTGGGGCTGCCAGCCCAGCCTGGTCCCGGTTGGCTTCCCCGGCTCCCCTCTCCAGCCTCGGCACAGCTGCCCACTTTGGGAAGCTCCGGGGCCTTGCCCGGCTGCTTGGAGCTGGGGGTCTGGCCCTTGGCACTGGGAGCCTCTAGGCTGGCTGGGGACCGGGGGGCTGGGCTTGCCTCATTCTTCTTGGCCTGACTGCCCTGTCTCTTGCCCTTCCGAGGCTTCCCACTTGAGGCCACAGGCTCGGGCAGCTCCTGCTTATAACTGGGAACCTCCTTTGGGCTTGGCTCCTCAGGGCTAGGGTTGCCTGGCTTGGGTGTCTTGACCCAGATCACCCGGGAAAGGTTGGGCACAGCGTTGAGTCTCCTCACTAGCCCATTCTCAGGGATGATACCGGGAGGGGGCCCCCTCACCTCTGTCCATGGTGGGTGAGAGCCTCTCATTTCTGTCCATGGTGGGGCCGGCTCACCTGGAACTCGTAACGTGTGGTTCTGAGAGGACCCCAAAGTCAAAGGGGATAGGTCAAGGTTAATATCAGGCCGTTGCTCTGAGGAGCCATTGAGGTTTGAGGGGGATAGGCTCTGGGGCTCTGGCTCAGCAGCCCCCTCCTTAGAGAATCCATTGCTGTCCATATTGAGCTCACACACACTGAAGCTGGCACGGATAGAGTCCTTGACAGTGTTCTTGATCTCTTGTAGACGGCTGCTCAGGAAGCTGTTGACCCGATCCAGCTCCCGGTCGGGCCACTCCAAGAGCCTCTCCCTGGCAGGCCTTGGCTCCTGGCTTCCAGAAACACTACGATTCACCTGCTTTAGAGCTTCTGCTGCCAAGTGGGCCTTTTCCTTTTCCTGCCAATATAAGAAGCAGTTTCAGCTAGGGCCTGGCAGCTGCTAGGCACAGTGTGACACCTGACACATCAGCCTGGGGCCCAGCTTTGCAACTAACTGGCTAGATGCAGGGCCTTGGCCACCCAGGCCTGCTCCCCCACTCTGCAGGAGTGAGGACGAAATGCAATGAGACCTGTGCATGTTCTGGGGATGAAGACAGACTTAGAGGATAGGTTTTTATAGCTTGTTCATCAGAGTCCCAGTGTCAATCCTAGGGCCTAAAACCACTAGGACTCAAAGGGATAAGAATGCAGCTAATTGCACCTTGCCTGCCAGGTCTGACCTTAAGCAGTTCATTCATTCACTGAGTCTCAGTGGACTCATCTGCGAAAAGTGGAAAAAAATTCTGGGGTGAAGACCAAAGTGGGGATGCAAGAGAGGGAGATGGCTGCTACAGTCACTCTCCAGTTCTGCTGGTATTAGGAGCAAAAAAAGCTGGCATTATGAGAGGCCTTTCAAGAAGTAAGATGGGGTGGTGAGACCACCATGGGAGGTCAGACACTCTGGGTGGCAGGCATGTGTGTACGGGTGCTATGGAAGAGGGAGAAATTCTGTATAAAAGCCACTTACCACTCAGATGCCTCAAGTAATCACGGCCAGTCCTAAAGTGTGCCTGATGGCCTACAATGCACGGCTACATGGGGCCCCACAAGTAAAAGCAGCCCCTCTGCCCAGGTGAGAACTGGGAGGCTGGGCTCTCTCAGTCAGCGTGAACAGACCCAGTTCTGGAGAATGACTGTGAAGTCTGTGGACTCTGAGTCGCTCCATTCCTCTACCCAACCTCCACACACCAGCAGACCAAGGAGGCCTTTAGAGGGAGATGAGAGACAGATGTCAAAAGCCTATGGGAAGGAGGTGGTGGTGTTGGGCCAGGGGTTGGAGGACTTCCACTATTTCACATATTTCTAGCTGATTTGGGAACGGAGGGGGAGGAACAGGAAAAGGAAACTGGGGAGAGAAAAGAGGGCATGCCACCATCTCAGAGTCAACTTAAAAGAGGGTGACCCTGTGCCCCGGTAGGGCTCTGCAACAGACCAATACCACCATTGTGGGACCTTGGACAAATCACTTACTCTCTCTGAACCTTACCTTTCCCCTTGGTGTATTTGGAAGAAAAACTGCCTACCTATAGCTCAGTGTTGCCCGGAGGACACCTGAGAGGGCATGTGTCCCCTTCCCCGAGTGCTGATGAGGCTGTGACTTGGCACTGTGGTGCTCAAGTGGGGAAGCAGCTGGGCCTACAGCAGTGTTGCTGGCCTTGTGCCATGGAGTTAAGGCCATGAGCAGAGCTCCAAGGCCACAGGGATGGATGAAGGACTGGAAGGCCCCTCACATCACTCCTCCCCTGTACCAGCACAGCTTTTTCTCTTGGGAATAGAGGTTCCATGGAGGACTTCAATTGCAAAAAAAAGAGTTCTGCTGCTAAACAAAGAAGTCTGAAAACAATTAGAGGGAGTGACATGGAACCAAGCGTGATTTGGTAGTGAGAGGAGAGCACAGAAAACGCTTTCTGTTAACGTGCCATGAGCCAGATCCTCTCCTCACACTGTCTCGTTTAATCCTTACAACTGCCCTTGTTGCGCCATTTTCCTCAATTTGCAGATGAGGACACCTGACTTTGGCACGAATAAGGAACTGGCCCAAGGTTACATGGCTAGAAAGTGGCAGAGTTGGGACAGCACACCCAGGTGTGATCTGCAGTTCCTAGGTCTTTTAGTCCTGTTTGACGATCACTTCTTGACCAGGGATGATGAGGCCTGGGCTGGGCTCTGGGGGATTCCGCTGTGCGTGAGGAGTCTGTTTGCGGACTTGAGTCTGCTGGGGGAGATGGGCGTGTAAATAGGCTGTTTAATTCGGAGTGACAGTGATAACTGCTACAAGGAAGAAAGGACAAGATGCTCTGGGAACTCAGACTGGGCCATCAGAGGTGCTTCCCAGAGGAGACAGCAGCTCACTGGGCCCTGGAGAGTGACTGGGATCATCCTAGAGTGAAGACTAGCACTTTTTAGGCAGTAGGAACAGCAAGTGACTGGGGAACGGGCATATATGATCTTTAGGGAATGCCAACATTCACAGGGAGAACTGGTGCCCAGGTTTCTTTCAGGAGTGGTCGGGAGTGGTAGGTGGGAAGGCCAGGGAGGAGAGACTGAGAGATGAATCCGGCAAGCTAAGCAGGGGCTGAAGAGCCCTGCAGGTCAGGTTCAAGTCTGCGTTTGACGCTGAGGGCAATGTTTGGCCACTGAAGGCTTTTTTAGTAGCAGTGGTAGGGTGGGGAGAACTGGGTGGTTTGACCTATTGGGAGGTCGTGTGGCCAGGACTCAAGGACAGGTGGGGAGATAGGATGAGCCACAAAAAACAGCCACAAATACTGACGACCACTGGGGCAGCCGCCGCTTCCCTGACCACGCGTGCTCTCCGTTGAGCTTTTCTGTGCATCACTGTTTCATCCCCGCAACCATCTGAGTTAGGCTCTACTGTTATTCTCATGTTGTGGATGAAGAAACTGAGGCTTAGAGGTGAAGTGATATGCCCAAGGTCATCCAGCAAGTGTGGCAGAGCCAGGTTTCAAACTGAGGTCCAATTCCAAGGCCCGCTGCTCTCGATTACCACGACGCATTCCTCCCAGGATGGCGCCCTGGGTTCTGGTTCGGGCAACTTGGTGGCTGGTGGCGCCATCAACTAGACAACAGTGGAGTAGGAAGAGCAGGCCTCCTTGGAGAGAGAGAACAGGCTCAGTTTTGGATGTGCTCAGTCTGAGGACCAGGACATCTGTGAGGAGGTGCCTCGTAGCAGCAGGAGTTGTCAATGTCAAGTGCAGGGAGGACATATGAAGACATAGTGAACCAGGAAAAACACTATCTAGACGGCTTTCTTTGCCAGGGAGAGGGCCTTGAGGGGAGGGTCGGAAGAAAGGAAGAGGAGTCCATGAAGGAGACAAAAGAGAGATCAGAGAAGGTAAGAAATTTGGAGAACACGCATTCCCACTTTCTTCCCTTCCGCCACCTGGCCAAGGACAGGTGAGCCAAAGAGAACATGTTTGAAAAGGATAACCAATACAAAATGCCTAGTGGACAGAGAAGATGGGTTAAGAGGGTATGATTTAGCAACAAAGATCACAGACCACTGGTGGTTCTGTGGCAGGGAGGGAGGAAAACAGTTTGCAATGAGCGGATAGGAAAAACAGTGAATGCAGACAGCAGTTTTCAAGACATTTGGCTGGGATGGGAGGAAAGAGATAAGGTGATGGCGAGAGAGAGGCTGTATGCTCAAGGCACAAAAGAGAGTGTAGCGGGCACAGTGAAATGCTGATGGGAGCCAGCTTAGGAGAGGCCGGAGCCAGGGCAGGAAGCTGAGCTTAGTTTGAGGTGGTGGGAAAGGACTGCATGGCCTTAAGCAGAAGGGGTAACTCTTCTCTCATGACAAGAAGGAAAGTCTGCCGGTGGAATGGTAAGATGTTTGAGGGAGTGCCTGTTCACTGGCTTTTTCCCTTGTTGAACCAGGAAATGAGTTCATCTCACAAAAAAGAAAAGCGGGGTGGGTAAAGCCTGGAGATTGGAGAAGAATCCGGAGGTCTGACAAAGGGTCTATGAATAGAAGTGATGAAGAACAAGTAGACCAGAGGCCTGCTAGGCAATGTGAGGGCGCAGGCAAGCAGGGGACCACACGGCCTGGGTGCCACAGACAGATATGATCCAGAACTTTCCTAGAGGTGTGGAAGGGGAGAGGCAGGGAGGGGTCAAACCTAGGGCTTTGATTTTTCTGAGTGGGTGTAACAGAAGAGCAACAGGGCAAGGAAATGAGAGTATTGGTAAGACAGCGAGTGAATGATGGTCAGGGGATCTCTATGGCTTGGGAAGAGGAGAAAGGGCAGGTGACAGCCTTCAGTGGATGAAGAGGAGTGGCCAGGAGACTGTAGATGGCAGAGCCAGGGTCAGTTTCAAAGGAGTAGGGGTTAGTACATGAGAGATAGTTACGGGAGATAGTTATGGTCTGGAAATGGTACAAGGGAGCAGAAAGATACTCAGCTTTTTTGGTCTCCTGAGGTGTGAGAGAATGAGCAGTCTCCACTGGACGGCTCCCAGGAGAAGCTGTGTTTTTGGTGGACAGCCAGATTGTGGTTAAGTCTGAGAGGTAGAGGAAGAACACTGGAGAGGAGGCTGATGCGTAAGGGATAATGACCATGACTGCCTATCACATGACCTCGCAACTGCCTGGTGCCATGTTGCACTCTGGCCTCTAGACTGGACCAGGCAGACAGAAGCTGTGCAGCAGAAACCTGCATGAGTGCGTGGAGTGTGATAAACGGCAGGTGAGAGACACGTGTGAGTACAGTACTGTGGAAGAAGTTACCTGAGGAGATCTGAGCTTGGAAGGAAGTTGCCAGGAGGAAAAGGAGGGGAAAGAAGAGTGTTACTGGCCTTACCAGCAAACGGGTAGGGATGTGTGGGCACACAGATTTATGGAAAGCACACCAGACCCAGGAACTTCAAAGTATGCCTACTTGCTGGGACCTAACTGGGAACCACTGCCTCAAGAAGCCAGGGAAGGCTGAGAGACTGCTGTTGCCCACCGGACACTTCTGGTCAGGCAACACTGGATGGGAGAAAGTAAGTGCTGACCATTTTCTGAAGGCAGTGGTGGGACCCCTTGGCTCATTACTTCAGGCTGCAGGGAAAGGGTCCTGGTTTGTCCTTTGAGCTGGAAAAAGATGTAGAACTGCTGCTGCTTTCCAGAGCACTAGGGCTGTTTGACCACCCAGGACCTGGAGCTAGCTGGTTGTCACACCCAACTCTTCAGCTGCTGGGCTCCCAAGTGTGGTGCTGTGCAGACGCAGCTGGGGGCAGGCAGGTGAAGAGGTAACGAGGTGGCAGGGGATGAGCTGCCAAGCCCTGGGGCTCGCCTGGGAGCAGGGCTACCCAGGAATAGCTTACTGGATTCTCTCCTCAGCCCTCTGAGGAGCTCGCTCAGCCCATGGGCTGGGTCACTCCCACGGCTTCAATTATATCTCCAAGCTGTCAACTCCCAGCCCCACACCTCCAGCTCCACTTGGAGGTCTCATGAGAACTTCTGCATCAAAGTGCCCCAACTGAATTCCCTGTCTTCTGCCAATCCTGTCCTTGCTCAGTGAAGGGCACACCATCCTGCCAGTCACCCAGGCAAACACCTGGAAGACATCTCTGACTTCACCTCTGTTCCATAATCAGATCACCAAAGCGAGTCATGTCTGCTTCCCTTGCTCTAGACCCACCATCAATCAGCTTTCCCTGGGCCTCAGTGTCCCTTCTGGGAGTGTCATGCCTCTAGGTTACCTTCCACACTGCCACACGGTCATGGTGGCAAACAGATCTGATCAAGCACATCCTCTGATAAAAGCCCTGCAGTGACGCCCCCTCAGCGAAAGGACCAAGTCAGAACTCTTCAGCGGGACCTATGAGGCCCTTTCTCACCTCTACTAACTGTCCTGCCTCTTCTCTATTTGAGCTTGGACTACCCCCAACTGCTGTGAATGTTCTATGCCTGCTACCAGAAATGACTCTCCTGATGAAACAGAACTCACTCCCTGAAACTCAGCTCTCAAGCCAGTCTCTTGGTAAGCCACTTCCAGCGTGCCCAAGCAGGATGGGGGGCTTCCCTCATCCCCGGGCTTGTCACATGAAAACATGCTCGTCCAGTTTTGTGTCAGTCTCTCCACTGGACTGAGCTTCTCCAGGGTGAGAACTTAACTGCATCATGCTTTGGCTCCCAGTATTTGCGGAAGTGTTTGCTGAATGAATAAATGACTGACTGACTGAAGCAAGTCCTGTGCTTTGAGGAATCCAGCAAGCAGCTTCTGAGGCCAGGACTCATCTTTCCTCCAATCACTGGCCCCAGGCTCCCTGACCCTGATGCCTCCCAAACGCATTCAGACCTTCCCAGAGCAGTGAGCTGTGCCGAAGCTTCTGGCAGCCAGCATCACTCATGCCCACAAGTCTTGGGGGGTTGGGGCGAGGGATTCCTCAGGGAGGAGAGGCAGTAGAACTAGGCTCCCCCCCCCACACCCACCTTCTTTTTCAGCTTGTGCCGGGCCCGCTTGGCGGCCCTGGCGCTGTTGGGGGCTTTGGGCTCCGTGCTGTTGATGAATTCCAGCAGCTCATCCACATCTCGGTGGTCCACGGCGGGCTCCCCAGGGATCCCGCCCAGGGCGCCCCCCTTCACGGGCAGCTCCTCTTTCCGCCTGGTCAGCCTCGAGCGGAGCTTCTCTCGGATCTCTGTATAATTCCGACTCGTCGGGGCAGCGGGTGGCTGGGGGAGGGGGAGGTGCTGACGTTACACCCTGGGCCTGGGAAGCCCGGAGCACTCCCACCCGCTGGCACCGAACATGTGGCGAGAAGCGAGACAACTGTTCTTTCTACTATAGCCGCAAAGGCCAAGTGGCTTCAGCCTCCGCCAGGCCCACAGCTGAGGCGGCGGTGGGCGGAGGGAGTGGGAGGTACGTAACAGCATTGTGAACACACTGACTTGGGAGCCAGGAAAGCAGGTTTGAGCCCGGGCTTTGTCACTTGGAAGCTGTATGACCTTGGGCAGGTCACTGAGTCTTTGTGTGCCTCGATTTTGTCATCTCTAAAATGAGAATAATTACTTTTAGTTTAAAGGTGACTAACAATGTAATTACTTTCATCAACTGCTCTACCCTACCCGGCGGCCCTTTCCTCTTCACTTTAGGAGACTTCTGAGCTGCTTTCGCCCTCTGTCCAGAAACAGCATGTACTCTGCCCTGAGCCTCCTGCCTGGTGCCATCTGGGCTCACGGCCTGTCCTTCGCTGGCTCTCACGCTTGGGGGACGGAGAGCCTTTGCTTCCATTCTGCCTTCATCACGCACAAGCGTTCGCTTCTCTGTGATTACACACGTATGCATGCTCATCAGAATCATAGCTTTCTCTCTGCCACTTCCTTTCCTTTTGCCTAAGGAAAAAAAGTCAATCTTAAGAGAAACCATGAAAAAAGCAAAGGTAGCAAGGTGTTTAAAAATCCCTACCTCACCAATGTGCTGGAAGGATCAAGTGAGCGGACACAGGCTGCGAGGACTCAGAGGGTCCCAGTGTGGTTATGATCCCTGTGAGCGGGGGTGGGGGGGTTGGGGGGTGTCTCTGGGGAGAGCAGCTCCTACGGCTCACCTTGACTGGCCCCCAGCCCTCTCTGGCCTGGGCAGGCTCACTCACCGCATTGTGGCCGAAGAACTCACAGTAGCAGCAGTCACAGAACTTTCCATCTCGCTGGTGAGTGGAGGATGAGGTGCAGGAGCTGCGCTCTGAGCTGCTGTCCTCTTCCTCACCCAGGCCCTCATCTGCTTCGCAGGGCTGGGGCAGCTGGCAGGCCAGACCACTGTGTGTAAACTTGTGTCCCTTGCACCCGGGGTCCCTGCTGATGGGGGAGAAAGACAAGCCCACAGGTGAGGGAGGGCAGGGAAGCAGCAGGCCTCAGGAGGAGCCTGGGGAAGCATCCCCACCACTGCTGTTCCGAATACCCTTCGTCTGCCTCATCCCACAAAGGCCAAGGCAGTCAGGTCCTATCAGTCTCTCTCACAATAACAAAGGCAACACCCTCACTGTCTCTCAGGCCCTGTGCCTGCACCCACCCTCTTGGAGGGCCACACAGTGGGCGTGGATACCTCTCTATGCTACTGTATATCACACTTTACTCTGATGGTCTGTTTGCCCACCTGTCTCTCAGAGCAGACTGCATTCTTTAAGGGCAGGAACTATGCCACTTCTGTATTTGGGTCCCAGTGTGCAGCATAACAACACTGTACACAGCACGTGCTCAGTAAGTAGGTATCCAAACAGATTAGTGGGCCAATGGCTATCCTGGAGCATCCGAAGGAGGCTGACAAGGTCGATTTCATCCTCTAAGGTTCTTCGATGGAGTCTGCCCCAGTGGGCAGAGCTGCCTTCATGTGGGGCCTTATAGTTAGGAAAGGAAATGTCGCATGTGGCCCAGACTCTAAGAGTGATTTTACTGTTTGGGTCTGGTACTCTAATTAGCATTATTATTTCTAAGCGTCTCCCAAGTCCTCCAAAATAGATGTTGCTACCCCCATCCTGCAGTGGAAGTAACTTAAGAGTCCGAGTGCTTAACTGTTTTGCTCAAAGAGTGACTAGGACTCAGCCTGTGCCTTGCAAAGCTCATGCTCTCCCATTGTACTGCTTTGCCTCTGGACTTTAGGGTGCACTGGGGGCATCATGTAATACAGCCCATTTTCTCAGGGTAAGAAAAGACTTGAGCCCACCAAGTCCCATAATTGGAGCCGGAAGAGCAAAAGCCCCGGGTTAGAAGCTGGAGTGCCCTGGGGCTGGAGACAAGGGGTGGAGCTAGGAGAAATGGCAAGGTGAAGGAGCAGTGAGGAGGCTTGGCTCTCAGGGCAGTATATTGAGCAAGAAGTAGAAAACGAGGGGCAGGAACCATTATCAGTGGTACTCAGAGAAGCTGAATCCAAACTAACCATTTCTCACCCACATTAGCAAAATCAAAGCACCCAGTGCTGCTGCAAATACAAAGAAACTAGCACCCCAAGATTGATGGTTACATCAATTTGGAGAGCCCTTTGGAAAGCAATTTTTCAATGTGTATTAAGAATCCTCAAAAAAGACATTTTGACATCCTTTAAACTGAGAACTTCTTTCTTTCTGAGGGACCTATTCCAAGGAGAAAAAAACCCAAAAGAGGAAAAAGTTTTAAGCAAAGCCATCTTTAGAGAGATTATTTACAATGTTAAAATACTGGTGACTTAAATCATCAGCAACTGGAAAACAGTGAAGTATACTATGGAGAATATTCTCCAGCCTTTAGCTGAGGCCAAGAAGACCAGATAGGAACCAAACAAGGAAAGCTGAGTGAAACGGGACAACAAAAAGCTGCACACTTTATAGACACCACCACCATGTGGGAAAGACCTGTAAGGAAAACTGCCAGCACTGGTGGTACTGGGATTTTAGAATAAGAATATAAATGCGTACTAAACACAGATCTGATTTATAATACAAAAATACACACTTATCTTCTCCAAAGAATTTTATCTTCCACATCTACATTACTATAAACTTCCTCAGTACTCAGAGTTACTTCAGGGAATCCTTAAACCTGTACTTCTGAACTCAAATACAGATTTGGGTGCAAGGATGTTTATTACAGCCTTGTTTTTAGTGGCTAAAAACTAGAAATGCCCGGGGGTGCCTGGGTGGCTCAGTGGTTAAGCATCTGCCTTTGGCTCAGGTCATGATCCCCAGGGTCCTGGGATTGAGCCCTGTGTCGTGTCGGGGCACCCTTGCTCAGTGGGGAGCCTCCTTCTCCTCTGCCTGCCACTCTGCGTCCTTGTGCTCATGCTCTCTGTCAAATGAATAAATAAAATCTTAAATACAAAAACCAGAATGCCCCAATGTCCAGAAATAGGGGAATGATAAATTATGCTAGAGGTATACAGTAAGACAATTTGTGGTCACTTGAAAGTTTTTTTGAAGAATCTTAACTGGGGAAATGATCTATAATGTTAAAAAAGAACTACACAACAATGTATAAACATGGTACAGAGACATCAGAAGAAAAATATATTGCAGTATTAGAAACTGGGGCACCTGGGTGGCCCAGTGGGTTGGGGCTTCTGCTTTCGGTTCGGGTCATGATCTCAGGGTCCTGGGATCAACACCCGCATCAGGCTCTCTGCTCAGCAGGGAGCCTGCTTCCCTCTCACTCTCTGCCTGCCTCGCTGCCTGCTTGTGATCTCTCTCTTCTGTCAAATAAATAAATAAACTCTTAAAAAAAGAAAAAAAAAAAAAGTTGATCATTAGCGGCACACAGGTGGCGCTCAGTCAGTTAGGTGTCCAACTCTTGATTTCAGCTCAGGTCATGAGCTCAGGGTTATGAAATTGAGCCCTGTATTGGGCTCTGAGCTCACCAGGGAATTTGCCTATGGATTCTCTTTCTCTCCCTCTGCCCCTCACCCTGCTCGTGCACATGTGCTCTCTCTCTCTCCCAAAATAAATAAATAAACCTTAAAAAAAGTTTGGGGCGCCTGGGTGGCTCAGTGGGTTAAAGCCTCTGCCTTCAGCTCAGGTCATGATCTCAGGTTCCTGGGATCGAACCCCACATCGGGCTCTCTGCTCGGCAGGGAGCCTGCTTCCTCCTCTCTCTCTCTGCCTGCCTCTCTGCCTACTTAATAAATAAGTAAATAAAATAAATAAATAAAAATCTTTAAAAAAAAAGTTTATTGTTAGGTTGTGAGGAAATTTTTTCTTCATTAGCCATCTCTGAATTTTTCCAAGTTTTTATTTTTTAAAAGATTTTATTTATTATTTGACAGAGAGAGACACAGCGAGAGAGGGAACACAAGCAGGGGGAGTGGGAGAGGGAGAAGCAGGCTTCCCTGCCAAGCAGGAAGCCTGATGCAGGGCTTGATCCCAGGACTTTGGGATCATGACCCGAGCCAAAGGCAGGAGCTCAATGACTGAGCCACCCAAGCGCCCCTCCAAGTTTTTAAAAAAACAATAAACACCTACTTCTGCTTGTAAAAACTATATAAAAGACATAGAGTCTACCCTTTTTTTATTTTCTAAGATTTACTTCTCTATCCTAGAGACAGCATGAGCCGGGGAGGGGGTAGCTTTGTAAAGTTTCTCAACTCAAGGCTGAAACTGGCAGGGAGTACGCCCTTCGTGCCACTCACTTACCTGTGAGTGCTAGGGAGCTGCTGAGAGCTGGGAGGTGGGAGGAGAGGCCCGCTGCAGTGCCCGCTGCAGTGCCCACTACAGGGGTGGCTGCACCCCGAGAATGGTGGAGGCATCTTCAGGAGCGGCATGCTGGTGGAGGGCAGGTGGGGGGTCTGACATGCCCCTGGGGTGTGGGGGGTGGCAGCAGCGGCAACAGGGCATTCTGAAGCCTGGGCAGGGAAAGGCGCTGCCGGGGTAGCAGGCAGCAGGTGTGGGTGGGGTGGTGAGCCGAAGGATCCGGGGTGAGATGGGATCAGCGATGCTGGCTGGGGGTGGTGGCCGGTGGGGCTGTTAGGTGGAGCAGTGAGGTCTGAGTGCCGGTGGTGCTCCGAGATAGAGAAAACCTCACCTGTGGATGGATGGGGAAGAAGGAGGTCAGAGAGAGAGCCAAGACCCTGGAAAGGAAAGCCCAAGGGCTCACTGTCACAACATCCTGCTTACCGTGACCAGAGGGTACCTGTCTGGGGACAGCCTCTCAGCACAGTGGACCATGTGAACTTTTGGAAAGTCTAGCAGTATCTTGGGCTGGAGAGTTTTCCCTGCAGGGAGCAACTTGGTTGGACAGGCTTGAGGAGCCCAGATCTGAGAGAAGGACCCAGGAATGCCCGCCCCATGGAAGGCCACAACACCGCTGCTGTGAAACAAGTAGGGGATATGTGTCCTGTCTCTTGGGGTCTCTCTAGGACTTGTTTGCTTGTAAGCATTCCTCGGGCCCAGAAAAGGGTCTACAAAAGCCAGTGGAGCTCTGCCTCTGGGCCATGAGGACTGAGGCAGCCAGGGTATGCCAGACTCTGGAGGTGGCCCAGTATCAGAGAGTACGAAAAGGCTTTGCTGAGTCTTCTCTGGCTTATGGATCAAAATAAATGGAATTCTACTCAACTCCCACAATTCTGGGAGTAGCACCCCTTTGGAGAACTCAGGCCCTCCATTTTGTTATTCTTCTTCTTCTGTATTTTAATTCCAATATAGTTAACATGGAGTGTTACACTCATCTCAAGCCCTCAATTTAGAAACAGACACTAATGAATATTTACATAGTACCTCAATAACCCAAGAATTTTTCTTTGGGTATCTAAAGTTTAACTCAGAGTGTAAAGAAAGCTTATATAAACGTGACCTTGGCTAGTAATTCTGGCAGTCTGCACCAGCAACTTCTCGTGCTTTTACACATGTCCCTTAGGTGGAGAAAAGGAGGTCTAGGAAGACAAAGCACCTGGGTCCTCTGTGCTGCTGCAGGGGACAGGTATTAGGTGGCTGACGTCCAAACTCCCTAAAGGACACTCCCAGACTCCACTTTCTGTTCAGCTAGTGTTTACCACGTCCTCTCCTGAATCTGAAGGGAAAGCTGTCAGAGCCAATGACAATATTTTTCAACTTCAGAGTTCTGGGGAAAGGAGTGTCATGGAGACAGCCAAGGGCTAGGTACCCCCTGCTTCCAGCAGAACAGATCCTTTTTTACTTATTTTAATAACTGACCTGGTTTGTCTAACGAAGTGGTTAGAAAAACATAGCTCTCTACATTTATGTGGCCTGGCTCTCTCCCGAGCTCAGAGACTCACCAGGGATGGTAGAAGGACTCCCGAGTGAGCTACCCGGCATGGCCCCACTGGAGTGCGGAGAGTTCCAGAGGCCCGAGAGCTTATGTGCTGACAGGAAGGAGCTGGGATCCCAGTCCCCTGAGTTCCCATGGCAGGAGGAGGAGGACGAGGACGATGAAGAGGAGGACGAAGAGGAATGAGAGTCACCCCCACAAGACTGTGATTTGCAGGATGTGTGTGACAAGGAGATCTGGAGAAGGGGGAAGAAAAAGGCTCATGGTAAAACAGCAAACATCAGAGCCAACCCTCTGCTGCCTTAACTTACTCAGGAGCACCTCCTCCTCCAAGCCCTGTGCCATGGCCAAAGTACAATTCCCACAACACCAGATGCAAGGGCAAGGCCTTTGCCGGGGGAGGAGCAGTGATGCTCCCAATAAAGTGAAGTGTGTGGATAGTGCTGAGAGAGACCACGGTAGAGATACAGACTGCCTGTCAACTGTGGGCCTTTAGGGAGTCCTGAGAGCTGCCAAGGAGAGGAAGGGTCTTTAAGTCCAAAGTCGTAAGCTGACACGATCCTGGGGTAAGAGAGGGACTGCAGGGTAAGGAGAAACAAGGAAATTCTGACTGCTGTGATTCAGGAGATGCCACTTAGATGGCTCCTGGGCATCTCGGAGGCTTTCTAACTGAGGCACACGGTGGACCCTCAAACCAACCTTTGCCATCCTTGTCATACTGGTGGGCTTTCAAGCTGTCAGAGGGCTGAAGGCAGCATGGGGACACAGAAGGGGCAGAATCTCCATTGACAGTACCTACAAGCAGGCCCTCACACCACAAAAGCTCCCTCAGGGCCAAGGGGGCTGCCTGCAGCCTCTCCGTTCTTGCCCCGACTGTGAACCCAAGCTGCTACTGCTGTCTGGAAACGGCCCAGCAGCCCCTCAGGGCCTGGGTGCAGGGGCTGCTGGAGGAGAGCCACCTGAGAGGGCAGAGAAGGAATAGCTCAACAGCCTGATCTCTCTGGGCAGGGTGCCCTCCTGCATTCAGGGACCCCCTTCTCAACCGTTACCTACCGCCACTGCATGCTCTCGACCTGTCTGCCTTTCATCTTCCTCCATGCTCTTTCGGCAACTCTGGCAGACCCACAGAGGCATCTCGCCTAGGAGATTCTTGACAAGCTTTGGCATGAAGTCAGGGGGCAGCTTCTCACCCTGCAACACCAGTCCGTTTTGGGAAGGGCCTTCTTCCCAGCCTTTGCGTTCCCGATGACATAGCAGGCAGCAAGTCTGCACAGACTGGGTGGAGGTGGGGGGAACCTGTCCAACAGACAGAAACAGGGTTTCCCAGGAGGGGAAAGGCTCTGCTTAGAAATAATATTAACCATACTAATAACTTCACTTATTACGTGCCAGGCACTGGGTTAGGCACTTTCTATACATAATTTTAGTCCTTGTAATGGCTCTGCAAACTAGGTGTTACTCCTTTTTCTTTTATTTAAAGACGAAAGAACAGATTTTGAGAAGTTAAGTAACTTGCCCAAGGATATAGAGCTAGTGAGTGGCTGAATTAGGAGTTCAACTCCTGCTGACTTCAAAGCTCATGCTCAAATGCCCTGCTATCTCCAAATCTTGAAGGTTAAAGGAAAGTCCCCTTCCTTCTCTGGCATGTCTGGGAAAGGCCACAAATCTTGGGCTGTCTTTGCAGTCCACAGACCAATCCCCACCTGGGTGTTGGGAAGATCCTTTCAGTTAATGTTGAGTTTGAGAGAACGTGTGCCTTTCCTGAAAGCTGCACAATTCCATTAGGAGCACAGCAGCATTTTGGAGGAGGGGTTTGCAGAGCTAATCAGAAAGCATTAATTCAACATAAAACTGAGTCGGAGAAAAGGTAAAGCAGATCCTGGTGCTTCTGAGAGGCAGTGAGGCATGGTGAAAAGAACCTGGGCTTTGGGGGTCAGACTGACCTGCATTCTAATGCCTGACCGAGCACACATTAGCTGGGTGATCTAGAGCAAGTTATTTAACTTGAACTCCAACTTCCTACCTACCTTGCAGAGTTGATGTGAGACTCAATGCATAAAAGGGGAAAGTGCCTAGCCCTGTGCATGCTCAAAGCATCGCTCCAATACACAGTAATTATTATTTGGACTTTTCTTCCTTCTAGGACAAATGGCATAGAAATATAAGTCTATAGGTTTTTATGTCATATTGAGGGGTACTGATTGGGAGACTGATTACATTTAATGACCTCAATTAGTGGGGTCACCTTTCCTACATTCTGCAGCTTTGGAAAGCTCCTATGCTCGCCTCTATACCACCAACACCACTGCTATATCCAGGACTATTCTGCAACTTTGTAGAACCCTCTTTCTCTGACACTGGGGCTGGTCATGTCACTTTCTCTGGCCAATGGGATTTTAGCAAATTTGCTCCCAGCTTAAGCTTGAAATGTATGTATGCATTTCTACTTGGTTCTTTGCATGGCTGGGCTTGATCACTCTTGCACCCCTGCCTGCCATGAGACATGACCGGGCTAGCTGCTGGAGTGATGTGAGAGATGTGTGGAGAAATCTGAGTCTTCCTTGCTGATTGGCCAGCGGATCAGGCACATGAGTGAGCCCAGCTGAGATCAGCCAAGCTGGCCCTGATCAACAGAAACACCCAATCAACCCAGAGACTCATGAGAAATAATAAATGGTGCTGTTTTAAGCCATTAAGTTTTGGGGTGGTTTGTTACATGCAATAGTTATATTAACTGATATACCTTCCAAACTTACCCACTACTAGGTAACAGGTGTTTGCAGAGGCCTAAGCAAAGGAATAAGGGAATCATCCTCATCCTACCAAGAAAATAAATGCCATCATCTTTCTCAAATAAAATCACCTTCTCACAATAAATTGGCATCAGGGTATCCTTAAATCTGTAATGTTACAATTACACTGACCTCGGTCTCTGGATTCTAGAAAAAGAAAGGAACCAAATAGTAGTACCAGGAGCATAATGAAACATCTGGGGAAGAACAAGGATGTTGGAAAAGAGTAACAGAGAGAGAGAAATCTTAAGCGTGGAACCTATGTGAGACACTGCCTAAAAGGTTTCTGTCAAGTGAACATTTCAGTGGACAAGACAGCTGTTGAACTGCAGCTATAAAAGGATATAGCTTCTAACCCACTGGTGGTATCTCATGGAAGGGTGGGAGAATGATGGAGAAGGACGGTACTTGGAGAAGTCAGGCAAAGGGGGCGTTTTTGAGAAGTGTTCCAAGGAAACTTTTCATAGTTGTAAGATGCCATAGCAACTCCAGAGGGAGGAGGTGAGGCCAACACCCAAGTCCCTTTCCCTGTGCTAATGGTGACCACAGTCTTAAGGAAAACACCAGGATGTGTAGTTTTACTACAACAGAGTTTCATTTCATTCGGGTATTAGGTTCTAAAGTTACTATATAGGAGGAAAATCTTGTCTGAGTAAAATTATTCTGAAATTCTTTGTATAGCCTGTGATGTAGAGTATATATAGTCTGGGCACAAACAAGATAACAACTGTAAAACACATATGGCAATGTTCAATAAGTGGGTTTTTTCCCTCTTTTAAAAGCATATACAGAATTCCTACAAGTTAAATGTGTGATCAGTGTGACTGTACCTAGTGTCAAAGTACTTGTGGGAGGCACTGGACGCAGGGGAATTAAAACTGGCTTTGGCACTTATCTTGGGTCTCCACCACTTACCAGCTGTAGGATGTTGGGCAAGTTCTAGTCTCTGTCCCTTCATCTGTAAAATGGGATTAAGTTCTAACTTGTATGGTTGGCTGTGAACATTGAACGGACAAAGCACCTAGTCCAGTACCAGGCCCATTAATACACTGCCTCAACATTGGATACTAATTAAGAATATGATGGGAGTGATGGGAAACATAAGTGGGGAAACTTAAATTCAGGACCAGGCTTGAAAAATATAGAAAATACAGTCAAAGTATTTTATAAGAATGCAAGCATCTTTCATGTGGAATGAATTTAAGGTGACTTAGACATCTTAATCTCTGTCCTCTACCCCACAGTCATTCTTTAAGTTCCCCAAATACTCTCTATATTCTCCTACCCCTACCTCATGCCTTTGCTGAAGGGGATCCTCTGCTTCAAACTCCCTTCCTTCCCAATTTTACCAGTAAGTAGCTAGGCAGGGCTTAAACCCAACCCCATCGAAGCCTTCCCAGAGAGTCCCTCTTGTAATTCCTCTCCCCTCCCCATATCTGCATAGCACATTATGCCTTGCTTACAGAATCTGTGCCTTCTACTTCATTTCTTTACCTGCATTTCCTGTCCCTTCTATTTACGTTGAGCTCCTAGAGGGCAAGTATCAGGTCTGATTCTTGTCCGGATCTCTCACTGTACCACAGGGCCTGGGCTCAGCTAGGCACATAATGGCTAAATCAGATTTGTTAAGTATCACTATGGCAATATACCTTAGCAAGACACTGCTTGAAATTTTGAAATTTTTGCTTCTCAGAGAGAGAAAGGCCATCTCCCTATCCTCGACCTTCACCTGAATGGTTCCAATCTCAAGCATGGAAGAGTGGAAGATCACATTCCCTGGGGATTACAACGAGATGGCCTCATTCATGGAAATAATGTGGCTCTTCCTAGAGCCAAACTGGTCCACATAATAAATGAGGTTAGCCATCAATGGAAATAAATTTACAGGACAAGCTGTCTTTCCAGTTAAAGGAAAAAAAACACTGGGCCTGGCAAGCTCATTAAGTCCTAACTGAAGCAGGGATGAAACCACCTCACACTGCATAAGGTTGCCCAGAGAATTAAGTGACATTAGAGATGCAAAGGCTAGCCCAGGGATTCCATGCAATAGACACTCAATCTATTACTTTGGCCCTCTGGCCATTCTGTTCTTAATAAAAAGCTAAATGGAATCTAGTTACTCATGGTCCTGAGTTTGATATACCTGAGTTTTTCCTTCTGGGCCAGGCAATTCTTGGGGCTACCCCCAAAGCTGTTTTAGCCCTAAGCCTTGGTGCCTGCCCCCAAATACAATGCTTGGTGGGGCCTGGGGACTTTTTTCTCTGACATTTTCTTTTCTTCTGCCACAGAATGGTGAGAATCCTGAAACTGGAGATGTTATATGCAGCCCGTACTACCAGTGTTTCTGCAAATTTTTCCTTTGGCAGAGAAAAGCTCTTGGTTCAGAATTCCCTTTGAATGCAATCTCCTGCCATTTTTCAAATTCCTGGCAATCATGATCCCTTATGCCTCAAAGTCAACTCAGGCTTTCAACTAGCTGTTCTCAAGCTGCATTTTTAACATCAGGCACAGTATTCCCACACAAGAGCATGAACAATAAATAGTTATCAAATGAATGAAACGCCCAACCATTTTTCCTCATCACAGAGCCCAGGGAACTGATCCTTAAACCCAACAGCCCTGGGCAGAAATTACTCCTTCTCATGCAGTTTAAATTTCAGAGCCTCTCCAGATAAACTTCTAGTTCTAGGTAAAAAATGGGGGGGTGGGGAGAGCAAGGGAAGATTCTAGGGGTTTTCTACATTTGGGATCTGCTCAAAATATCTCCAACATTAAATTCTGCTTCACTCCAGGCAAAACCAGCAACTCTGAGAGTGTGGGATTACTCATACAAGGGATCCATGTTTTAGCACGCACATCCCCAGGGCAGTCAAGGAGCCAGGTGAACCCTACACTGTGGCCACTCCCAGCCCAGGGGGGTGGTGTGCGCAGTCATTACAATCATTATCTCTGCTCCCTCTCTTGACCAGGCCCCAAACTTTTCTGTCTTGGCCTAAGAAACATTATGCTGTGATAGTCTAGATTTTCCTGGAGAAGAGTAGTTAAAATCAAAGGAAAAGGAAGCCAATTTTTCTCACGGAACATCATTTTTACTTGAAAGAATGACTGACAAGTGGGTTATTCAGACTTGGAAACTGCCAGTCATTTTCTCAAAAAATGAACAAAATGAGCCTGTCACTTCAAGGAAAACAAACTTTTTATTTGTGGCCAATGACAAAATTCAAGCTTTCAGGCAAAGATCAGAATTTTGGGAATTTGGATATTAGAATTTTGTATCCATCATCATGAACTTAACAGCTTCCCAATACTTTAAGACTTTTCTGGTAAAAATGACAGTGATATTAACAAATATAGTCTTTTGACACTGTAAAATGAAATGGAAAAACATTTGGAAGAGCCGCATAACTCAGTGAGCCTATTTTCCAAATGAGCAAAGCACGATGTTTTAGAATCATGCACTGGTAAAAAAAAAAAAAAAAAAAAAATCCATTCAAGGTGCTAGAT